GTGGACATTAAGGGTTTGTGCCTCACCCCTTCCTGTTTGCTCTCCACTTTCCTGTGTGTGGCTGAGAATGTGATCAGCTTGCTCCCTGTTCCTGCTGCCATGCTTCCCGCCATGATGCACTTCATTCCTCTAGAACCCTGGGACCATTTTATTACAACAGATACTGGAAGCAGGAAAGTAAAGTTGTTACTGTAAAGAACTTGGCCATGTTGGTTTTAAGAGGAATGAGGAAGACTTCAAAACAGTGGCCTAGAAAAACATTGAATGTTGTAATCAGAGCTTATCTGGCCATTCTAGTAGGAACCTGGAAGACTGTAATGCTGAGAGCCCCAGACCCTGAGGTTTCAGAAGGGAACAAGAACTCTTATTAGCAACTAGGCGAGAAGCCATTTATGTAATATTTTGGCAAAGAACCTGGTTATTTTCTGCCCATGTCCTAAGAGTTTATATAAAGCTAAATTTTAAAATAATAGATGGATTTATCTGGTAGAAGAAAATTCATAGCAGTAAAGTATCGAGTCTGTGGCATGGTTATTACTGATTACCCTTATTCAGTCCTACAATGGAAAAGCGCAAGAAGCAGGATAAAAAGAAATGAAAACTGACGTTTGGAGAAGAGAACATTGGGAAACCCTGCAGCCACCGTTGTGTTAAAAGAAAGACTGTGATTGTTAAGGAGACCAGCATTATTAAAGAGAAGTCTCCTGCTTTTTATTGGGAAGATAAAAAGTACTCTCAAGGCAAGACCATACCCAGCCAAATACCCATCTTGTGAAAGAGAGCTAAGGGGTTACTTACTCATAGAAAGCAATAGCTTGAATGTACAGATGTTGGTGCAACTGTAGTTCAAGAGGCCAGGGTAAACCCCATGCTGGCAACTAAATTTAGCAGTATCAGCCACGAGGTACTTGAGAGAGTCCTGGGTTCTTCCTCTGTAGTGTCAGATATCTACTGAGTCCAGGAAACATGTCATGGTGTTACAGTTCCTTCAAAGATGCACTGAGAGGCCATAGAATGAAGCTGTTTAGTGTGGTAGAGACTCCAAGATGTTGGAGATGCCAGAGTCATGAGCTCATCATCTACCGAGGAGAGTTGCATACAGGGAGTGGAACCAGCCCAAGGCAAAGACATCTCAGGCAGTGAAGCTGGAAGGGCAGAACTACTCTTGAAACCAAAGCCCCAGATACTAGACATGGAACTACCGGATTTGGTGTTTGCCTGCTAAGTGTCAGCCTTCCTGTGGGTCTAATCTTTCCTCACTATGCTCCCATTCCTCCATTTTGAAGTGGTAATATATACAATGTGTCATTGTATGTTGGGAGTATATAAATTGTCCCTTTATTTAACTAATTAGTAATTTTAAAATTGACTTCAGTCTTCGAAGGGACCTTAAAAACTTTCAACAGTATTGAGACTTAAAAAGTATGGGAACTTCTGAAATTGGACTAAATATATTTTGCGTTATGATATGCCCATGTGCCTATGGAGACCTTGAGGTGGAATATGGTGGTTTTTGAATGAGAAATGTACCCTACAGGCTTGGCTCCCAACTGCTGGTACTGACTGGGAAAGTCATGGGAACTTTTAAGTACAGCCTCTCTGGATGAATTACGTAATTGGGGGTTGGAGAGGGGGTGGGGTGAGAGTTTGTGCTCCTTCCCTACCCCCATCCCACCCCTTCTCTCCCCTGCCCTCTCCCCTCTTCTCCCCTTCCTGTGTGGATGAACATGTGGTCAGCCAGCTTCCTGTTCTTGCTGTCATACCATGTCTTCCCCCCTACATGGATTCTAACCTTCCGGAACCTAAACCAATAGAAACTCTGAAGTTGCTTTGGTCACAATGCTTATTACAACAGAAAAGTAACATGCATGAAGCAAACCCAGAATAACATTGTAACAATGGAAAACACCTATGTTACGTAGTTAGACTACATTCTACCAAGCAAGTTGAGGGATCTAATCTTTGCGTTTTGCCTCACAGGAGGTGGTAAGGAATACCACCATTTGCTAAGTACCACAGGAAGCCATTGCTTCTTACAGTTAGAACACTGCTGCTCTCCAGCTTCAAGACTTTCTTTGACAGTAAGAATTTAAATGGAATAAGGCTTCTATGTGAATGTGCCTGATGCATCCTGGGAAGTTAGTGAGCTAACAAATGTTTGACAAAAGTGAACTTGAGTGGGGAGCTGGCTCAGTGTTCAGTGCTTGCCTGGTGAGCATGAGTACCTGACTTTAATCCCAAAACCCATGAAAATATGTTAGGCATTGTGGCCTTCACTAGTCACCCCAGAGTTGGGGAAATAGAGACAGGGGGATCTCATGGGCTCACAGCCCAAACACCTAACCATGATAATAACAGACCCATCTCAAAGTAGGGGGCTGGCATTACTAAGAATGACACATGGATTATATACTTATGTGTCTGTGAACCCACACACAAGAATACACACATACACAAGAAAACTGAGTCTAGAGTTCATTCTCTTGAGGCTCGATTTCATACATTGGGGTCATGATCTCTCTACATCCCTAAGTGTTCTCTCACAGAAAAGAGCACCCGTGGTGGATGCAAGCACATTTTTCTCCTTCCCTCCCATGAAATCACTGCTCCTGTTACCCTTGCCTTTCTGTGAACACCAACCTGGAAGAAATCTGAAGCTGTTGTTTTCCTTCTCTCCAGCCCGCATGTCCCAGACTTGTCCAGGCTCTGTCTGCTGCCTGCCCACTTCTCTCTCCTCATTGGTCCTTTCTCATTGGCACTGCTAAGGCAGAGTTTATAGGTCTCACCTCAACATTTCATCATTACTGGGGGAAAAGAGAGGGAGGAGGAGGAATGGGCAGAAAGAGAAGAAGGAAGAGGAAGAAAAAAGAAGAGGAGGAGGAGGAAGGAGAGGATTTGGGTGGTAAATTTGTTAATTAGCATGATTACCTCCCCACCCTCAATATACTTCTTTTCTTTCTCATTTCTTCTGTATCCTCCCTCCTCCTCCCATCCTCTTGCTCATTTTTCAACCCCTCCTCCTTTTATCCTTTGGAAAGAGCTCACCTCCTAGTGTATTTCAAGTTTAGTGCTGTGTTATTAACCACAGAACTTGCTGTGCCTTAGATCTCCAGGACTTAGTGACCATCCCACTGGAACCTGTAGCCTTCAGCCTTAATTCTTAAAGTCTTCACTAGGGCAATTCAGCCAAGTCTGCTGCTCCTACAGCCTCTCAGGGCATCCTACCTGTCCTGCCACTCAAGAGAACATCCATGGTGGATTCTTCTTGTAAACCCACCCAGGTACCTCTTCTCCTTTTCTCCCATCAGGTCACTGTTGCTCTTCCCCTTTCCTGTCTGTGGAGACCTGGGAGTTTCCTGGGAAGAATCTGAAGCTTCTGTCCCCTTCTCTCCAGCATATACATATCCTCAGGATTTCCTACTATTCCCCAGACTGCCCTTGTTTGGGGAATTAGATATCAGGGTTGTTAAGCATTTCACTCTTTGGCTTCTTCCCTTTTCATGCTTTGTCGTTTTTGTTTAGTCCTTTAGTAGATCTCTGTGGTTTTCATGCTGAAATCAAGTTCCAGTTAAGGAAGGTAGGCTATTCACATGCCCTGCCTCTTCCCTGCATGAGCTCTCCAGCTGGTCCTTGCAATGACTTGGAGTTTTCTGATGTTTCAAGCAATGCTGGGCTTCTGGGCTTCGGTAGATGTCTTTACCTAAGTGGCCGGTCTTCTGCATGGTGCTGGGCTCATGAGTATTTAGCTGACCATGAGCAGGCTCACACACAGTCTGTAGAGCTGATGGGCAATCAGACTCTTATCTCTCATTCCTCAAGATGGACCTTAGGGTCTCAAGAGCAAACTCTATGTACCAGATTTACTCAAATTTCTATTGGCTTCACCCTTTGCTCTCTTGTCTTAGCAATAAAGTAAGATTATGTGGACAAGACCAGGGTCAGTGTGGCAGAAAATCACAGTGCTGTGGCTTCTTAGGGATCACATTATCTTCTAGCTTACACCTTCTCCTTGTCATTTATTTCTTTATTTGTTCATTCATTCATCTCACAAATGTTAGGAATATCTACTGTAGTCAAATCCTGGGGCGAAGCACTAAGGGGACAGATTTTCCAGGCTCCAAGTGTATATTCTGAGACACCAAGACCAGACATTCAGGAGAAGTCAGATCTCCACAGGGCTCAGGAGGTAGGGCGGCTCAGGAGGTGTTTCCTACACTCAGCATCATCTCCACAGAAGTTGCTTTTTGGTTACTCAGGATCGCTTATCAATAGCTTCTTTCCCATAAGAGCAACAAAGAGCTGAAATAGAGAAAAAATATTTTTAATAATATGTTTTTAACATCTTAATTAGAAAAAAAAATCACATTTGTTTGCTCATATATAGTTCAAGCATATAGTTATGTAATGACAGCATTACCACTAAATACCAAAAATCAAAGGTACACTAACATTACAATCCCAAGGCTCCCAAGCTGCTCATTTGTCTATAGAAATAGCTGCTTGTGACTTTGAACTCATACTTGCAAAAATGATATAAGCTAAGAATCCAAACAAAAAAAGTTTTTCAAAAGAACCCATGAAGAGTAGGGACAGTGGTAAGGACAGATCACAGGAGCCTGGCTTCTCTTAAGGAGGCGTTAGGGAACAGAATGGGGCTCCATTTTCTCACAAAAGCCATGATGTGAAATGCATAATTTGTTATGTTCTACAGAGAAGGGGTCTTGTTGTGTACACGCCAGAGCTGCTCAGCCCGGCTTCACTCACGACCTCTGTTCAGGTCCAGCAAAGAAACCAGGCTCCAAAAAGTGAAAGGAGGAGAAATTTCTCCTTAAACTTAGATAAAGATCATCATTTCACAATGCAGAAGGGAAGTTTACGGTGACGGTGCGCAGTTAGCTTTGCAGCAGACATCAGCCTGTATAAAACGCAGACTAGTGGTGGCCGCTGTGACAAATGAGCTTTATGACTCTCCAAACTGAACTGTGACTGCCCATCTAATG